ATCACTACCCGTGTATACAAATAATATATCATCAATATATCTTGCATAGAATACGCAGTCGCTACCAATGATTGGATAGATATGGGTCTTCTCAAATTTTCCCATGAATATTGTAGCATATGATGGAGCTGCAATGGTGCCCATGGCACAACCTCTTATTTGAAGGTAGTGTGCTCCATTGAAGTTGAAAGTATTCAATGTAAGGACATGCTCCATGAGTTTTATGATGACTTCTGTGGGGGTCCCGTTTTTTCTTTTTTAGTAGTGCTTCCTGAAGGGCGGCCAGCCCTTCGATGTTTTTAATGTTTGAATATAGTGACCTAACGTCCATAGTCACTAGAATAGCTTTCTCTGGTACTGTTTGTATGTGATTAATTTTGTTCAGTAGATCTGTTGTGTCTCTGATGTAGGATTTTACTTCCTTAGCTAGCAGTTGTTATGTAATGGTCTATGTATTTGGAAATTTTTGTCGTGTGGCAGTTGAACGATGAAATAACCGGCCTTCCTGGATTGTTGCTTTTGTGTATTTTAGGAAGGAGATAGAAACGAGCAGGTGTAATGTTTGTGGGTGTAAGTGTTGTGCATGTTTCCTTGTCGATTAGATTGTTGCGAAGCATTATGTTTAGTGAGCTAGTTAATTCTTTTTGGTATTCTGGAAGGGGATCTGTAGGTAAGCTTTTATAGGTTTCTTTGTTGGCTAGCTGTTTGTTGGCCTCTTTAATGTATTCTTCGATTCCCCAGATCACTGTCGCACCCCCTTTGTCAGCCTGTGTTATGATTAGGTCATCTCTGTGTGTCAGCGTATCGAGGGCTATACGTTCTCCTTCAGTCATATTGTCACGTGGCAGCTTACGTGCTATTGTTTTCTTTATGTCATTTGCTACGGCTAGTTCAAATGTCTGTATAGTAATGTCTGTGTTTTGTGGGGGTGTAGGTAGTATCCTTCTATTTTAATGTCTCAAGTATAGAAGGTGTATGATCATTTTCCCCATAGTGGGCTTTTAACCATATTCTTCTGAAGAAGGATTTCAGGTCCTTAGCCAAGGTGTCTTATCAAACCTTGGGGGACTAGGGCAAAAGCTTAGTCCTTTATTTAATACCCTGAATGTATTGAGTGAAAATTTATTGTTACTCAAATTTATAACTCGCCCGTATGGGTCAAGTTTGAATTTGCAAGCATGGTGAAGTTCTTTCGTAAAAGCTCGAAAGCTTGCATCATATCTCCTATTAGGGATGCTATACCCCCACCCAGGTGTCCTGGTTGGGAGCTTATTCCGTTTTTTTTAAGGTTGGGTGTGTTTGTTGTTGACTGTCTACTAGGGGCTAATCTAGGTGGTCTGGGATGTCTAATGGAGTTATGCGTTCTGTAGAAGGGCTGCTGTGTTTTGGTTTGTGTATGTTTGTACGGCACCCTAAGGATGTCCGCGTAAGTTAGTGGTTTGTTTTGTGTGTGTGTTTGTATTGAGGTTCTAGCTATCGTTGATGGTGGCGGTGTTGTTATTGTTGGTTGTGGTGCTGCTGTTTGTCTGTAGGCGTACTTATTTGGCCTGTTTTGTGTTTGCATTGGTTGTGTGGTGGCGGTGTTTTGTTGTTTTCTTTTTGGATATGGTCGTTCACTTTTTTCAGAGTTTGGTTTCATTTCTTTTTTGTTCCTCTGTCTGGAGGAAATATTCCATCTTAATTTCCTTTGTTTTTCAGTTTTTGATTTTTGTAGTTCCCTCACTGTTTGGTCTGTGTGAGCTTTTATGACATTCTTTATGTTGGTATATTCTTCCATGTCTGTTTGTTTTTTTATTTTCTCATCGAGCAGGTTAATTTCTGCTGTTGATGCTGTTATGTTTTCCTGGCAGAACTGCATGGTGTCCTGCATGAGTTCCCTGGAGAAGTCTTCTAATTTACGGTACCATGATGCTAGAAACGCATCATTGTGGTTACCTATAGAAGGTTCCAAATCAATCCTGAAATTGGTTGGTACTAATCGATCCTTCAGGCATATCCCAAGATATTCCCGGTGTGATTCATACCTGGCTAATTTGTTGGTTGCTCTATTCATGTGGATAGCCAATAATTCTGTGTTTATTGGTTCTGTTGGTGTTATGTCCTCGGCATTTGGTTCAGTCCCGTGTCCATTATTCATGATTATATTTTGAACAATAAGAAAATAAAAAATTAAAATCATTAGACACTGGGTTGTAGATTAATATTCTTTCGTTTTTTTATTATTATTATTCTATTTAGATTCCTCGACTAGTTTCGACCGAAATGGCCATCATCGGGAGGAGAAATATTTCTGCTTGCTGTTAGCAGTGAACTACAGAAATGAATGTCTTTTGTTGGAGAAAATGACCTTTTGTCTGTAGTTTTCATTTGTTTTTTATTTTTTATCTTTTTCACATGAATCTTTTAACATTCCTTGTGTTGGTCAAACAGTCTCTTTTTAAGTTGTTATTTGAGATAAGAACTGGATAGATACATTTTATTCTGAATTCTCTGGTCAGTT